TATATTTCCTAAACACGAACACCCAAAAATAAAAGTCATGCCGCTTTTGTGGGTCTGGGGCGAGTGGATGCAGATCGAGTTTTCCAACAGCTGGACCTGCAAACCAACGTCCAACAACTGGTGGCTCTTAGCCGATACATCAAAGTGGCTCACCATCTGACCTCCTCCGTTGGAGGGATGGCAAAGCTTGGGCTGCAAGCTACAGTTAAGCTGCAGACTGCATGTGTTTCTGGAAGTTTTCACTGGACAGCCAGAAGGCCTTTAAAAGCATGCTCTGGGACCTGTGTCCAGTCGGGCAACATCCAAGCCCATTGTGCAGTTGCTAACAGGGCGACGAGTGAAGCTACCAGAAGAAGCGGCGACAGTAGGCTACAGGCCATGAGTCTACAGGCAGTTTTTGATGGTGTAACGCCAGTGCAGAGCCAAAGAGCTCTCTCAGCTCTGAGAACCTGAGAATGGGCCCCACCCGCTTTGACACTTTGACAAAGGGGGCTTAAGCCCCCCTTGAAGCCCCCTTTGAGCCCCTAGGTCTGCCTAGGCCAGCCCCAGGTTCTGCCTCGGCCATGCGCTAGGCTCTGCCAGGCTCTGCCTAGGCCAGCCCCCAGGCTCCGGCCATCCGCTGGGCTCTGCCTAAGCCATCCACTAGGCTTTGCCTAGGCGCCTAGACCATAAAATTGGCTCTTCCCCTAACCTCTGCCTAGGTTCTGCCTCGGCCATGCGCTGGGCTCTGCCCAGGCCATCCCTAGGCTTTGCCGAGGCCATCCCCTTGGCTCTGTCTGGGCTCTGCCTAGGCCAGGCCCCAGGCCATCCCTAGACTCTACCTACACCTTCCACTAGGCTCTGCCCTGACCATCCCCTACCCTCTGCCTAGGCCATCCGCTAATAGCCCCTAGGCTCTGCCTAGGCCAACCTAAGTCCCCTTGGCTCTGTCTGGGCTCTGCCTAGGCCAGGCCCCAGGCCATCCCTTAGTCCCTTGTTTGGGAACTTCCCTAAGGGGGGTGGCAAAGTATTATAGCTGTACTAGCACAATACCAGCAATTGCTGTGCTACTATTGTGCTGCTACTGTACTACTACTGAACAACTGCGGTACTACTAACCACTGCACTACTACTGTTCTACTACTGTTGTACTACTACTGTACCAATACTACTGTACCAATACTGTATTACTATTTTTCTTCTGTACTATTATTGTATTACTACTGTACTATGATTTTACTACTACTGTACCACTACTGTACCACTACTGTACTATTGTACTACGACTGTACTACTACTGTACTACTGTACTACTATTGTATTACCGTATTATTATTGTACTACCACTGTACTGCTACTGTACTGCCATTGTACTACTATTGTACTACTACTGTACTACTGTACTATTTCGCGCGGTAACTAATTATTAACTAAAAAGAAATTAACGGCGCGCGCGGAGCGCGCGCCGCCAGCGAACAAAAAACGCGTTTTTCCGTTTTTGCTTTCCAACCTCACTCAAACCTGCTTTCCCAAACCCAAAGTCTTTTTCAGTCGAGCGTGACAACATCCCTCATTTCGCCTGCCACCTCTACCTGTACACGAGGTGGGGCAAGGCTTACAAAAGGCTTCTTTAAAGCAGACATGTCCTTCCAAGTGACCCCCCCGCTGTCTCTTTGAGACTTGCGAAGCTGGCTACACACTGAAAACATGTCTTGTCCGCCGAACCAGTGCTTCAGCTGGAACAAACGGACGTGACGCATGATCTGTTCCATGCGAGGGCCTCTGTCGTCTGAAAAGCCAACTGTGTTGAAGGGCCGCTTGCCGACCACTTTGCGGAAGGCAACGAAAAAGCCATCAACCTTCTGGGTTCCTCCAACCCTTTCCTGCTCTTCAAACCTGTCGCCCACCCAGACACGCACCCGCATTCTCTTAGAGAATTCTGGGTGCGGAGACTTGTGTTTGACACAAGTGTGAGACAAACGCAAATCACCGTCCTCCAAACTCCATCAAGCAGAGGGCTCTTCAAGGACTTGTAGGCTTTGGCTCCGTCTGTGTGGCAGACGGACCCAAATTCCAGCATAGGCTCATCAGAGTCCAAAAGTAGAGCAGAACGCATTTCCTCCAAGGACAGTGGTCCTCCTCCACCTTGACCTGCCTGAGTGATTCTGTAGCCAAGATGCTGAAGCCACACCAAGCTGGACCCTCTACGCACTGCCGCAATGAACCTGAGCCACACAATTCCGTGAGATCTGCCCACAGAACGGAAGGCCACTTCATCAATCTGGACGTCCATTCCGCATCCACCAACTGTCAAACTGTTGTTCAGCTGCTCGATTAGAGGTGTGAAAAGGTTGAAGGTCTCGTACAAGGAGCGAATGGCCCGACTGTCAACACCAAGGACAAGACTGGCATCATCCGGTGACAGATGCAGTTTGGAAGTGTAGATTACTTCTATTGTTGCTGCTACGTATTCTACTGTACTACTGTACCACAACTGTACTACCGTACGACTATGGTACCACTATTGTACTACTTTACTAGTATCTACTGTATTGTTCCTGTACTAGTATTTTACTACTGTTACGAGGATGGAAATATTCCATCTGCAAGAGCTGCCGTTGGGCTTAAATTGCCCAATATCTATATTTATCGTTTTTACCGCTCGAAAATATTCTATCTGCATTGCTGCTACGGGTCTAAATTTTCGATTTAGGCCCGTTGCAAAAATATTCTCTGCATGTGCTTGAAATATCATTTTCTATCTGCAAGAGCCCCACCATAAGTTTGATTGCATGAGAAATTCTGATTGTTGCGATCATTCTGATTGCACCCTTTCAGACATTGCCTTGGAAGAACCCTGCATTACGTCTTGTTTTTTTTTTGGCTTGACTGGGCCTCGTCGACTACGGCTGTAGCACTCGGTCCCGACAAACAAGCGAAACTACAAACCAAGCAACAAACTGCAACCAAAGCGGTGAAACAGCAAAGCGAAGCTCTACCAAGGGCTGCGGCGCACAGGCTTTGCCGGTGTTAGCCGTTCAGCACAAACTACGGAGCCTCAGTGACCGGTCAGAAGCAACAAGACCGTCGCTCAGAGCTGTCCAAAGCAACAGGGAGCCAAGTCCAGTCCGGTTGCCGTTCTAGTCTCGCCAGACCCCTGTGTTTTGTTGTGTCACGGTGCACACCAAAATCTACAAGTCCAAAGTCCACGGGCGACGTAAAGTGAAGCACCAGATGCAGCCAAAGGTGACAGAAGCGGCGTTCTCGCTTTTCTAAGTAGATATACCGATGGTGACGCGAATAATGCCAGGCTGACGACGACCTACGACAAAGCAGAGCCCAAACACGAGGCTATAAGAGAAGCAGCGTTCTCACGCTTTACAAACTGCAACCTTGCAGCCAGTTGATAAAAAACACAGCTGAGCAAACGCTAGAGGCGAGCGTGCAGAAGTGACAGAAACGGCGTTTTCGCTCTTACTAACCGCAACATGAATCGATGCGGGCCAATGCCAGACAGAGACGACGAAGCAACGACAAAGCAGAGCCCAAGCCGTGAGAGAAGCAGCCTTCTCGCGCTTCCAAACTGCCTTAACCTGTTGAGAAAAGGCACAGACCGAAACAGACGTTAACCGCAACTTTCACCGAAAATTTCACGACCAATTCGGACGGCGACAAGCGCGCAACGGCCGTGAGAAAATTCAAGTCGATTGTCGTGTTGTGCGCCCTGCAAGGAACTGTTGCGGTGACAAGTATGGAATCCCATTCTTCTCGTTTTCTTCTCCTGAGCATTTTGGTTTCATTGCGCGAGTACCGTGTTCCAGTGACCCAAGTGATCAGCTATTGGCATTTTCGACAGCTTGTTATTACTTCTAGTTCTCATTGTTTCTTCATTTGCACCATCCGTTTTATCAGGCATTTTGATTGAAACTGTTCTTGTGGTTCGGTGCTCGATGATTCTGTTGACGATCATGCCTTGGAAGGCTTGATTCAAGAATGCTCAGGTTCGAGGTGATTGTCTGAGTCATTGCCACGCATTGAGTACATCACTCTGTGAACATTGCGACACAGTTTCGCATGGTTCCTGCTGTGTATTCATCACTAAGGAACCTCTGAGATTGACTAAGGAACATGTGCGATATCTTTCGGCATATTTCTGAGGATTGGATTCTCAGCCGAGGACACATTGATTGATTGTGGACATTTTGCAAGGACATGTTCTAATCTTGTCAGTCCGGGTTCGTATGCGGACGTTGAGGATTCGTCTTTCATTTGTCCATCATTTGCCCTTTGTGAAGAGTCATTGCCTTTACTTCATCATTGTTCTCACGCCTTTTGTCTTGGTCGTCACTGTCTTGAGAACCTCACTGTTTTATGTGAGTTGATCTCGATTGTGCTCGATCTTCATTTTATTAAGAAAACCCCAAAACCAAACAAACATTGTTTCATCGGTTTCACGGAAGAATTGACTCGCCTTGTCTAAGGGACCGCCTGGCTTGCAGGTGATTGGAGTCTATTGCATGTCTCATGACACATGCTTGCGCCTCAGAGTGTGTATTGTATGAAAAGAAAGAAGAGGTGAGAATTGAGTGAATTTGGTTTGAGCTCAACATGTGTATTGGCACGACTTTATCATTCCTGTTGAGACACATTGACCAGGAAGATTTTGCTTGGGAGGTCTTTGAGCAACCCTGTGTTTGAATTGCAAGAAACAAGAATTTATTGCCTTTTATTGGATGAAGAGTTTTGGCATTTAGTTGAGAAGTGTACATAGCATTGGCATGAAGAGCCGAACATTCATTGTCTCGAGCTCTACATAAACCGATTCGGTCAAACGTTGCTACATTAGCAACATTGTACATAGCATGATTTGAACAGGATTTGAAAGCGTTTTGAGATGATTTTGAACCTGGAGTGTGTGCTTTTGTGAATTGTTGATTTACTTATTGCTTCCGCTTGCGATTGCTCTTAGATTGGAAAAGCAGATTCGCTCTCACGATTGCCTCAGATTGACTCTGATTGCCATGGCTTCCACTCCGGCTCCGGCACCGGAATTCATCATGGGAGCTCCTCCCGTGACATTGCCACAGAGCTCACCATTCGATCAGTTTCTCAACATTGTGAGTCAGGTAAGTGACCACATTCACGAACCCAACCACCAGTTGCGTTGGCCAGAATGGATGGTATTGACCCGATTGCGTGAGGCATTCGCGATTTTCTACGTGCATTTGGCATCAATTGCTGCAACTCTGGAATTGTACCAATGGAAGAATGCCCTGATTGAGGTCACGCAGACCATTGATCACTACGTCACGGTGACATTGAATGAAGGAATCATTCACTTGGATTGCCCAGTGATTCTTGAGATTGCTGAAATGATCCATGATGCATTGTCTGCTTATTGCCAACAGATGTCTAGATTTACAGGGAAGATTACAGGCATTGAGCTTCAATTGGGCTGGACCATTGCCAACAAATGGTCACGCGCAATGACGCCAGATGGCTACTCGGCGCATTGTGGTTATGCGAATTGCGCATTCTTGAACTTGATTCACATGTGCAACAGATGCATTGCCCACATGAGAGCAACAGACATTGCGGACGGAATTCCCGTATTCTCATTGAATCTGGCATTCCTGTCCTGCTATTGGACAAAACGACTGAATGCTATCGTGCATTGAAGTCGATTTTCGCCCGAGCAGTTGCAGTGACATTGTTCAGATGCCGTGATCACAGACCAGTTGATGGATTGGTCGAATGGTTTGCTTGCTTAGCATTGCCGGCTTCGATCATTGAGTCATTGGTGAGTGGACAAGTCACCAACATCCCCACGCCATTGGGGCAATTGAATCCACAATTCAGTGTGGATGCGAGCCTACGCAAATTGTGCCATTGGTACCGCCAAAACCGATTCTCGCGCAGTCAGTGCGCGGAATTGGTGAAAGTATTGATCTTCCGGCCCACGAGATTGATGATGGACACAAGATTGAAGAATCCGGAAGGGATTGGTGGTTTCCAAAAGTACCACAATTGCTCATTCCTCAGTTGTTCTTGGTGCTTGACGATTGACAGCACTCAGAACCAGATTGGTGGAGATTACACCTATTGCCTGGATGGGATTGTTCGTCAGCATTGCATTGTCCTCGAGTTGGCAACATTGAATGTGGAAGGATTGGCTTCCCTGATGCACAATTCGAGCTACGAGCATTGGTACCCGACGGAAGCTGTGCACCGTCATTGCACATTCCCTGTCTCGTGCATGCAGATTGAGGGTGTCCCTGAACTCATGCTATTGTCGGAAAATTGCGATGAGATTCCGGCTGACGACATTGCAGCAAGTGCAGGTTTGGGGCCCGGATTGACCGATTCCGGATCTTCGTCGTCGTCATTGACGAGCCAGGAGTACAGTGTAATGGTTGCCACTGCGGCGGCTATTGCGCAGAAGAAACGCAAGGGCCAGTAGCGATTGGCCTATTGACCTATTGATCCACAGCACGTGTGGATTGAGGATCCACAGCAAAAGTGGATTGTGCTTGTTACATTGATGAGAGTGTATTGCTGCCTCTCGACAGCATTGCTTTTGATTTTGATTCTTCTCTGCTCAGATTGCACCGGCTTTTGGCAACAAGTTGCTCGGATTGAGCACTGGACAATCGCTGCAGATACTGCCGATTGATTGCTGATTCCATCTGCTTCTATGATTGCGATGTACCGACGGAGACATTGTTTCCTGGATGATGATTGCACATAGTTGGAGATTGGGCGACTGCATGACATTGCTCAGTTCTGATTGCAAAAGAGTGAGATTGCCAGCTTAGTTCGTGATTGCGTTTCAACCGGTGGATTGACTGCTTGATTGTTTCGATTCACACTTCATTGATTCCAATTCTGGTTTCGTTGCTATTCCAGTATGATTGTAGAACCAATCAATGAGCGGAGATTGTACAGGTGTGATTGTCGACGTGCCCCGTCACAATCAAGGGACCGTGTTAGATTGCATGGTCATTCTCCAGCTCATATTGGACCCACGGACACAATGCCTACGAATTGGCCTTGGCTCAAGACTGGCTCATTGCATCCAGACAAAAGTCAGAGACCGAGTGGTTGCATGCTGGAGCAGATTGAGATTTCTGTTTGATTGTTGTTGCCAGATTATCGCACACTCCTGGTGATTCTCGAAACGCTATTGGAATTTTTCATTCATCTGCCCCCTTCGAAGCCTTCGAAGCCCACTTCCCTTCGAACCCTTCGAAGGCTTCGCCCTCCCCTTCGCCCCTCTCCCCTCCCTGTGTTTTAGGGAAGAAGGAGAAAACTCTAGAAGCGGAGAAGTCCAAAAGGAGCGAGCTTCAGAAGCGGAGAGTGGACAAGCTTGGCGACAGAAAAGATTCAGAGACTGGTTCTCTCGCTTGGGGTAAGCCATGCTCCGGAAACAGGTTTGGAACTTGGGTTTGAATCCAGGTTCAACCTGGGTTGAAGCCAGTTAAACCCAGGTACCCAGATCAAATCCAGGTTCCAACTCCAAGTTCAAAGCAGGATTCGTTGAAGAAAGACTGAAAGGAGGAAGGAGGACCTTGGACACGAAAGGAGATGCCCACACGAAATCGATTTTGGGAGTTAAAAGCGAAGCATAGAAGCAGAAACATTGAAATTCAGAGACACACAAAGGCCGCACAAAATCGTTCAGTGGGGCCCACTGATTTCAAGCCTTTTCTCAAGCTCTTTGAAGATTGTTGTTGCGATTTATTTTTCTCTCTCTTTTTTCGCAAAACACCCCATAAAGCGATTTCGTGTGACTTGGTTCATGTCAATATTTTTTGTTGTTGTAAACAAACAAGCTTGTTTTTTTGTTATATTGCCGTTTAATGTTTTTGCATGATTGTTCTTGTTCTTGTTGCAATTAAAATTTTGTTCTTGTTTGTTTATCCTGGTGTATTGTTATTGTTACTGAGATTTGTTGTTTCAACATGTACCAATTATCTTGAAATTGTTCGTTCGTCTTCATGGTTGCATCATGTCGATTTTTAAATGTTTTTTCTGAGCATTTCTTTCTCCGATTACTGTTGTTCCTGTGTTGTAGTGTTCATTATTTGCTATTTTTGTTAATGTTTTTGTGTTCATTTCTGTGTTTACACATCGACATGCTTTTTGTGTTAATGGAAAGGTAATTATTTCAATTATTATTATTATTAATATTGTTATTATTGTTATTGTTATTATTATTGTTATTATTATTATTATGCTTGCTGTTCTTTGCCATTGTCGCTGTTTTTGATTCTCATCATGCCATTAGCATGATTGCTGCTATTGTTACTTACTAGGAAGTTTGCTTTCGTCACATTGGGAACGAGCTGGACCCTTCACCAAGGCCTTCGCCTTTCGGCCTGCCGGGTTCGGGGCCTGGGTCTTGCGGGGTTTTGAATGCAAGCCTGGGTGCCAAACCTGGGTGTTAAACCTCGAGACACGAAGGACTGTTGGAGCGCAAGTGGGACGGATGGGCCCGGTGCTTGCGAATTCGCAGACGAGGACAGAAGGAGGGCAGGGGATGGAGGAGGTGGGGGTGGAAGGTGGGGGCGGCCGGAAGTGAGCAGAGCGGGGTATTTCGCACACATATGAAGAGAGGGGCCGCTTCGCAACAATTGATGAGGAATTGCGGCTCTGACGCTAAAACTGCACGGGACGCAGCTAGGGCGTTGGTCTTGGAGCAGGAAGGTTTGGTGGCAAGCCTGTTGCGTTGCTAGCTGCGCTCTCCTCCGACATTACCATAAAGTGGCACCCGCTGCGCTATACTTCACTGCAGAGCAGCTTTGGCGCACAGTACACAAGTGGCAGTGGTGCGTTGTTTTATTGTATAAATGATGTACATATGCAAGATGACCATGGGGCGGTCCGAGCACGCCTCAGCACATATTGTGGCAATTAAGGTGTTGCATTTGGGCGGTACCATCGTGGGAATCTTTGCCAGGCGGACACGTGCGACACGCTCTAGTTTGCTGAGCTACCCATGGAACCTCGAAGAGCCGTTCGAGCGCATGCATGCCTTTGGAAATAAAGACTGAGGCCACCTGCCTATTGTGGGTTGGTAGGCTGCGGCTTCGACACACGCGCACATTTGCGGAGCAGTCATTCCGGTCTTATAGTGCCCCGAGTGCGGCCAGCCTGGCGAGGATAGCTTTGTACAGGCGTGAGACACAGCGCGGGGGGTTCGGTGAGGCCGGCCTGGCCGTGACTGTTAATTATGTCTGGCAATTGACCCAGTGGGCTTATCAGTTTTCCATCACCTTCGCGCCGTCGTTCGGAGATGGTGCTCTTGTCTCTCCCAGCGTATTCTCCACCTTCCAGAAGCCCTTGTGAAAGCTGTTTCATGATTTTGCTCAGTGATGCTGATTTTCGCATCATGATTTTGTATAATTCGGAAAAATCTCACATGTGTAATTTTGAACGAAATTCGCGACGGTGGAATTTGCTCAAGACTGGTTTGTTTGAGCTGCTTGGAAAATTGTTGTATCATCGACCCGCCCGACATAGTTTCCATACGGTTTTGGGCTTGAGTTCAAAACCTACAAGAGTTTTCAGCGCATACTTTCGGCTTGACGGGACCTTGGTGCAGGGTTTCAGGCAGGTAGACACTGGGATGGTTGAAGGGCTGTGTCAATCATGAAGCTGCTTGGATGGTATTGGTTTGTTAGGAACCCTTAAAGTTTTACAAACCATAAAAGGGTACTCTTTTTTGTTGCACGCCTGCATAAAAGGCGTTTCGCCCGATGCAGCCACTGGTACGATCCCGGACTTGGGGATGTCGACAGATTTGCGCTAATCCTATAAACTTTACTTAAATCTAAATAAACCCCAGCTGCAAAATCCGGAAAGGCACCGTCGGCTCACGGCATATCGGCGTCTCTGGGCAAGATCCCACCACCAAGGTATTGCATTTAGGACCAACGAAGTGATTTCACAACTCAGAACGGGACTCCGATTTTTGATATGTTTCCGAACTGTGTGATCACGGTGACACTGCTGGTTCGTTATAACCATTGCCATGACGTTTAAATGTCGCTCTTCTTGGATGTTGTCTTGCTCTCGTAAAAACGGTCGATGCACGACTGACGTCTGCAGCCCTTTTGGTGCACACAAATTCACAAGAGCATTCGATAGGAGGAAGTATGTGTGTGCTGGGCATGTCGGTTTCCGGGGGAAGCCTCAAGACCCAGTTGCCAGATTGTTATGTTTTTAGCAACGTTTCGTTTGCGCATGATCATCAACATTCATCGTTTCGTTGCCATATGACTCGCAAACATGTCACCGCCGACAAAGACGAGGAGGCATGGGCCAGAATTTTGATCTCTTCGTGCGTGTAGCCGTCGGAGTCAAAGCACAAGGCGCACCCGAAGAGCGAAGTTTGGTCATCTCAGTCCGCCCCTCCGCCGCTCCGCGCCTGTGATGTAACAGCTTGTACTTGTCTCGCGCCGAGGTGGGTATGGATGCTGTCTGTCCTCATATTTGTGGTAGCTTTTGCGCTTTCGGGCCAAATCCTTCCCAGGCCCACAGATGCTCATGCAGTGACAATCAGTGATATTGCGGCTATGGCAGACCTCAAAAGGCAGTCTTGTGCAATGTGGCGTTGGCAGTTCGAAGGTTCGTGCCGACACAGTGCACGTCGGAGCAAGGCATGTGTACGTCGGGGCCTTTCTATGAAAGATTGTGTGCGAGTCGGCTCCTGGTTTCGCAAGGGTTGCTTCCGCAAGTGGAAAACGGGCAACGCAGGACTGGCGGCTGAACCTCCGAGCCTCAATTGTTCGAGACGTGCACAGTTTGGCCTCTACATTGTTCCGTTGATTTTGACACGTGTGGTTTTTTTTTCAACATTTCACATTGGCAGATCGACTCCATCGCAGACACCACCAGTTCGAAACCCAACTCGAACAAACCCTTTCCCTCCTCAGATGCCTCGCAGATCAACATGTCGCCTTCACACGGCATTGCTCTGCTGAATGCAGGCCTGGAGCTTGCACCTGCCCGTTCCCACTCATGAAGCGGGACTTGGTGACGCAGGTGTGCCGCCTGCAAACACTTAGACGTTATTCTTTGGTTTACTTTTTGCGTCAGGATGCCCTGGCTTGCTCCCAGTGTGTGGAAGAATTCTGTCCAGTGTGTGGCTGAGAATATGAAGCTGGCGGCTTGCAGAATATCGGAAGTGTTGTTCTGAGCCAAGGCGGTGCCTGGAGGTACTGAGACATGTACCGAGTCTGTCGGCCCTCATTGTTTTTGATGTGTTCTGGTCACTCAGCCGCAGATTTGTAAGGGCTAGCCCGACCGAGGCCTGTGAGTGCGAAGATCCTTCCTGGCCGAGGCACCAATGGTCAGGGGGGGGACTCTCGGCCTTCTCAGTCCACGGCGGTGCTCCATGCAAGGATCGATGTCGGATCGCCAGGGAGACCTTGCTGGCAATGTGTTCTTGCCTGAGTT